TTGAGGAGATATTTCAAGTTCTCCAGGACATGACAGACACTGAAAACGAGACCAGTGAAACAAGAAGTGACGCAAGGCAGCGCATAACCGCATGTGGAGTTAAGATTTTCTGACTTTACTAGGATATTGGAACAAAGTACTCATTGCACTGACCATATTCAAGAGAGGCTGCAATATCCTGGCATGAACTTCCACGATGCTACCCTGAATTTGAAAGCCCTCCGAGATCATTTTGATGAAAGAGAAGTGTTGGTCAGTGAGTCACTCGAAGAAGGACTCGGTCTTTGTCAAGAATGGAATAATGAAGTTGAAATATTAAAGAGACGAAAGAAATAAATGGCTGATGAAAACTTGAGAGACGCTGGGTTAACAGCCAAGGAGCAAATGGAAATAGTCATGAAAGGAACACCCCACCGTCCTCACAGAGAAATAGATGAAAAAATCACTCGTTTGCACGGCTCTGACGCCAAGTTTGGGTTCCTTCTCGATGTCGAGGGACTGTGTTACAGCGACGACAGTAATGTCCTAAAGATGAAGTGAGAAAATTTGAGTGAATTGTACAGCTCTGAAGTTGATAGACAGCAGCTATATGAAGAAATTTTGGTTTGCAGAATGTTGCTATCAAATCGGGCCAACATGAAAATATCAAGACTGAAGAGCTTCTCGAATTCATTGCTTAGGATGAAGATGAGAGCGTCTTCCCCAATATTCACATTGTTATTCAGATAATGTTAACCATCGTAGTTTCCACCGCCAGCTGTGAGAGATCATTCAGAAATTAACGTTAAAACTAATACTTTCGTATCTGAGAACCGCCATGGATCAAGGAAGATTCTGTGATCTTGCACTGCTGATTGTAGAAAGTAAAGAAAACGAAAAAAAATGAATTTGGGCACATCATAGACCAATTTGCACCAGTGAAAGCAAAGAAGGTGCAGTTCTAATTTTCATGTAATGCCATAATTTGTTAATTAAAAGATTAAAGAGCTTGACTTGTATTTTTGAGCTCATTTTATGGTAAAGTTATCTAAAAGATGAGTGTCAGATGCTTGGACAGGGGCTCAAATTCAGTGCTTGCCATGGGCGCTGTTTTCCATAAATACACCCCTGTCTACAGGTATCTGTAAACATGCATCCATCAAATTTAACTTTGTAAATATCTTGCCTTTACTCACTACAAACAATAATTCTTCAATCCTGGGTAAAGGATATCTCTCACAATGAATATGTTGATTTATATATTTAAAATCAACTATGTCCTAAATGAAACAACCTGGGAAGATATCCTAAACAACACAGATCCGAACCTTTGCCTAGAAAAAATAAACTCTGTGGTTCTTGAGATCTGCTCAAGGCACATTCCATTAAGAAAAAGAAAGAGAAGACGTAAACTAGAAAGAGAGAGATGCTCCCTATACAGACAAAGGCGAAGAGTCACAGCTGCTGAAAGGGGCCAATATATCTAAAATACAAAGGGAGGCACTGGTTAATGAAATTGCAAATATCGAACTTAAGCTGAAGGAATCTTACAGGAGACAAGAGTAGCAGGAAGAACAAAAAGCCATAAAGGAAATTGAAAAAAAAAAAAAACTAAAATACTTCTTCTCTTATGCCAAATCTAAGGGAAAAACACATCCAATACTGGGCCCTTGCGTAGGCGAGATGGGACATACACAGATGACAGCCAAGAAATGAGATACTAAAGTCCCTATATGACTCAGTGTTCAGTGAGCCGCTGCTCAGACTAAGGGTCGACAATCCAAATGAATTATTGATGAACTAGACCCAAAATCTCAAAAATCTCTGATATTATCCTAACACCACAAGACTCTGAAAAGGCAATAAATGACATGCCCATGCACTCTACCCCAGGCCCAGACTCATGGAACTTCGTGTTCATCAAGAACTGCAAGAAGCCCCTGTCGTGTGTCTTCAGCATTCTATGGAGAGGGAGCATGGACACAGGGGTCATTCCACACTCACTAAAAACAACAGGCATACCCCCACTCAACAAAGGCAGCAGTAAAGCATTTGCAAAGAACTACAGACCGATAGCACAAACATCCCATATCATAAAAATCTTTGAAAGGGTTCTAAGAAGCAAGATCGCCAACCACCTAGATACTCATCATTTACACAACCCAGGGCAACACGGGTTTATAGCTCGTCGCTCCTGTGATCCTGTCCTGGATCACTTTGACAAGGTCCTAGATGCTGTAGAGGATAAACAAAATACAGATGTAGTATGCACAGATTTTGCAAAAGCTTTGGACAAGTGTGACCATGGTGTAATAGCGCAAAAAATGCATGATAAAGGAATGACAGGAAAAGTTGGTAGATGGATCTATAACTTTCTGACAAACAGAACATAAAGAGTAATAGAAGAGTAAATTCTGAGGCAGCTACTGTGAAAAGCTCTGTTCCACAAGGCACTGTACTTGCTCCCATTCTATTCCTCATCCTCATATCTGACTTAGAGATGTAAGCCATAACTCCGTGTCTTCCTTTGCGGATGACACCTGAATTGCCATTACAGTGACCTCCATCGAAAACACCACAAGACTCCAAGCGGACATAAATAAAATTTTCAGGTGGGCACTCAAAACGATGTGAAGTTCAATGACGAGAAATTTCAACTGCTCAGATATGGAAAACTTGTGAAAATTAAAACCGTATCAGGGTATACGACAAATTCTAACTACACAATAGAGCGAAAAAGTACGATAAGGCACCAAAATTACTGGGAATGGTTGAAGGTCCTTGATCTGTATTCCCTTGAGAGCAGGCGAGAGAGATACATGATAATATACATTTGGAAAATCCTAGAGGGATTAGTACCAAACTTGCACACGCAAATCACTTCCTCTGAAAGCAAAAGACTCGGCAGGAGATGTAACATTCTCCCAATGAAAAGCATGGGCGCCACATGTACACTGAGAGACAACACAGAAAGTGTCCAGAGCCCAAGACTGTTCAACTACCTCCCAGTATACATAAAGGGGATTACCAATAGACCCCTGGCTGTCTTCAAGAAGGCACTGGACAGGCACCTAAAGTCAGTACCTGACCAACCTGGCTGTGGTTCGTACGTCATTGTGTGTGCGGCCAGCAGTACCAACCTGGTTGATCAGACCCTGATCTACCACGAGGTCTGGTCTCAGACCGAGCCGTGGAGGAGTTGACCTCCAAAACCCTCTTCAGGTATACTCCAAGTAAACAGTGTCCAGAACATCTTTCTGCCAATTTTGTCAAGGCTGGGAACCAAAGCAATCATAGTACTAGGGAGAGAGCACAACTTTGTAGTACCCACAGTTAGTGGCCAGGCTTCAAACACCTTTTATTGTACAGCAGTAAAGGAATGGAACAAATTGCCTGCCATAGCCTGAGCCATTCTATTCTAATCTATTCTATTTGATTTGCTGGTATGGATCCCGGCCCGGGTCTCTTCCAATTTGGTGACCCAGCATTGGCTCCCCGGGTAGGGAAGTGTCGTTTATGTTTTCTCGTACATGCTTGGCAGTCCTTTGGTGGGAAGGGGGGTTCCTCTCCGATCCCAAAAGTTAGTTTGTTCTAATGGCGGTTGGCGTGGGGTGCAACGGAGGCCCAAAGCATGCCTTCACAGTGATTTCAGCAGAGGGCGGGTGATGTGCAATGACTGGGAGTAAGATTTCCAAGTCTCTGATGGCTAAGTACACAAGATGTGCTGGTTCATCCTCCTGGGCCTGCCCCACTGGGGTCATTGGGAAGTGTCTATGGCGAAGGGACATCATTGCTGGGCAGTCTAACAGGTAGTGCACCAGGGGTTTCAGAAACATCCGGTCACAGTGGACACATAGCTCCTCTCGTGCCTGTTCAACAATCCGTGCAGTGGTGGTATACCCTAAGTGTAGGCGGTGGATATACACCCGCAGTTCTCTGGTCTGTGTCCAACTACTTGGAGGGGGTGCCCTGTGAGTTGCCCTATCATACCAGCAGTGAGTCCCCAGGGTCAGGGAGTGGGTGCCTGGCTGCACTGGCAGCCCATAGCATAATCTGGCTGTGGCTGATGGAGATTGCAGCACGTGGCTGTGCCTCGAGTGTTGTGGTCTTCACAGCCTCATCTGCGGCATCATTGCCGGGGATACCCACATGGCTTGGGACCCAGGTGATGGTGGCTCTGCGACCATGGGCCATGAGCATCTGCAGGTCGCCCCGGATGGATGTGATTAAGTGTATGTTGTCCCTTGGCTCTCTGTGCATAATTGCCTGGATCGCTGCCTTGGAATCAACATGGATGATGAGGGGATGCTGATGGTCTGCAACTGCATGCTGCAGAGCTTGTTGGATGGCAAACAGTTCAACCTGAAGTATGGTGAAATGGTCCGGGAGGTGCCTACCTGCTGTTAGATTGTTGTGGAACATCCAAGCAACTGTGCGGCCTGCCACTGGGTCTCTGAAGCCATTGGTGCAATACGGCACACACTCAGGGCCTTCCACACCTGCAATTTTAGTCGAGGCAAATAGTTGCACAATGTGTTGGGGGCAATGCTTCTTGACTGCCTGGTAGGGTTGTCCAGTGCACCGCCAACAGCTCTGGCACCCAATGAGCAGCACTGTGTAGTTCGCTGTCGTCTGTCGCAGCCTCCCACCTGGAACAATGTCATGGGCAGGAGCTTCCTTGTGGCATCTGCAACTGACCACATTCATTGGCTGCCGGGGTGCATTGGTATGACATGTCCCTGGTGGACCCTTAAATCCCTCATCAGTTTGTCAGCCCTGGGGAGTTGGAGGTACTTTGCTATCCTCTTGGTAGCTACAAGTTGGATCCTGCCCTCAAAGGGCTGTATCTGTGCCTCAAAGTTCAGAGCCACCACATTAGCTCACTTAGGTGCCCCCAGCCTGGCCCGTGCAGCTGTGGCCTGGACCACACAAGACACTTGATGTTCATGGGCCTGGCGTGAACCAGAGCAAGTGTTCCATAGTCGATGAGTGAGCATACTGCCTGTATGTAGAACGACCTCATGACCTCGAGGCTGGCCCCAACCCTAGGGATGGCCATGGCACTCATTGTCCTACCCCTCTTTGATGTGGCATACATGTTTCTGGAAGGTGAAGTGCCTGTCAATGTAAATGCCAAGGTACCTATAGCTGTGAACCCAGTCCAGGTCGATGCCCAGGATCTGCAGACTCTGACCAGGTTCCCTGGTGTGAATGATCATGGCTTTAGATTTTGCCACAGATATCTTGAGCCCCAGGTGACGGCAAGTGGAAGCCAACAGATCGAAGTCCTCCTGGGCATGCTGCAGCAGCCGGCGCTTCCTAGAAATGACAAGTGCCAGGTCATCGGTGTAGCCGAGCAGGAAGGTGCCTGTGGAGAAAGGCAGGTGCACCAGCTGGTGCATCAGTACATTGAACAGGGCGGGACTAAGCACCCCGCCCTGTGGAGTGCCGTTTTCCAGAGAAGAGGCATGCCCTTGGAAATGTACCTGGGCTTGCCTGTCCTAGAGATAGGAATGAAGCCATGCAAGCAGCCTATCCCTAACCCCCCTGTGGGCCAAGAATACAAGGATGGCAGGTGCACTGGCTAGCTCAAAAGCTTTCTTGAGGTCGAGGAAGACAACAATGTGGGCTTGGGCATCCGACCCATTGCTGGCCATTAGGGTGGTAAGGCTTTCAAAAGTGCCTACTCCTCTGGTGAAGCCATAGAGGTGCTTATGAGGAGGGCCAAGCTTCCACCTCAGTCACTCCAGCACCATGCTCTCAGACACTTTCGAGATGCAGCTGGTGAGGAAGATGGGTCACACACTGCCAGGATCCCAGGGCTTAGGAATCAGTATGATGTCAGCCTCCTTCCATACAGCAGGGAGTCTGCCGGCTCTCCAAGTCAGGCTGTTGACCCCCAGGACAGCTGCATGACCAGAATGGTCATGCCATGGTGACACCATCATGCCCTGTTACAGTGTTCCGATTAGATGAGAAAGCTACCTGGAGCTCCCGGTTGGTGAAGTCTTCATCTGTGACATCCTTTGCCTGGCATGCCTCTTGGATCGCCACCATCCTTCTAGGAAGGAGAGTGGCCTGTGGGTCCTGGAGATCCTGAAGCAGTTGAGCCATGGCCGCTCTGGAGGTGGAAATGTCCACCAGACATTCTGCCTCCATTGCAGGGTCTGGGTGTGCATGAGCCACACCACTCAAACCATTTAGCTTGCCCGACCCTGTGGGAGACATGACATGCATGCACACCACTTCCCTGAGCAGACACATGGACTTAGCCATGGGATTATGCCTGTGCATCTTGCATACAATGTTGATCCGGTGGTTCTGCTCCCAGATGTCCTCGTTGTTGAACCACCAGTCACACTTGTATGACCCTCTGCCTGTAATCCTAGGTATGGCTGCCTCAGCTGCACATGTAAAGGCTGCCTGCAGGTTCTTAGCCGCCTCATCTGGATCTTCCGGTAGAGTAGACTCCACCCACTAGTGCTCGATGACCTCCTGGAAGCACTGCCAGTCGGCCTTCTTGAGATTCCATTTGGGGGTAGGTGTGGGAGGCGGGCACTGCTGGACCATCAGTGTGATGACCACTGCAAAGTGATCACTGGTGAGACAGGGGGTACCTCCCATCTCACACTCGAGAGCAGCCATCTAGAGATGAGTGTGACGTCCAGGCAGCCACCATAGTGATGGGTTAGCTCCCCTTTGTTGAGGAGGGAGATCTCAGAGACCTCCTCCAGCACAGCCACAAAGTGCCTCCCAGTTGCGTTGGTGGAAGAGACAGAAGTAAGTAATGGGTGGTAGGCATTGACATCCCCAACCACAACAAGGCCCTCCAGGGGAGCGAGTGCTGCCACCTCTGAAATGTTAAGGGTGTACCGACAGCTTCTGTATAAGTTGTAAACCACGAGAGGTCTAGCCGGCAGGTGTAAGGGTGACCACCAAAACCTCCACACCCCCCCCAATCGGGGGGTCATGGGGATTGAATGAGGGATAGTCCCCCCACATAGTTTTGCTTGCATCTGCCGTGCCTTCCGGGTGCAAAGGGTAAGCTGAGAAGCCGGGGATATTGGGATTTGAGTTGAATTTTGTCTCCGGGAGCAGGAAGACTCGACCTCATCCTGATCAGCCAATCATTAAGTGAATTTCTGTGAGCCCACAAATTTTCCCAATGGAGGATCTTAAAGGGTGAAAGGAGGGCCCCTCTGATTTCATCTCACCCCGGGGACTCATCCATTGTTGGTGACCCGGGGGTCCTCCCCATCAAACTGGAAAAAACCCCTGGATGATGGTTGAAGTCCGTTGACCCTTTCCTGTCCAATAGCCACGCCCAGCATCCACAAAGGACTGTCTGCAGGGGCACCTTCCTCTTTTATGGCAGCAGGCGAGGAGGAGCACTGAATCCCCCCAAGGGTTTTTTTCACAGGGGGAATGAGTCCCCATTACATCTGAAAGCATTGAGTCAGACAATTTCGAGTCAGGGGTGGGTCACTTATTTTGGATGGCGTTGAACGCGCGCATAAGCGGGGGGCACTCTGGGTTTTGGCTTGAGTGGCCATCTTCTGGGTTTTCCCGCAGGAGCATCTGCCTGCTCTGGCCACCCAGGGGGCCGCTCTTGGGGGAGGCCTGCGGGAGGATGGATGGAAAATGGTGCCCGGGGGGTCTGCTGGGGGTGTTTCCTGGGCCCGTGGCCACTTTTTTCCCCGTGATTCTGCTTCTTGCCACTGTGCGTCTGCCTGCAGTTGCCGCAGCGAACCGTGCCTGCCCCTTTTTGCTGTGCTGAAGCCCGTGCCGGAAAATCGTGTTTTTCCTGCAGCATCCGGGGGCTGTGGGTTGGAGCCTACAGACTGTTGCTGGGTGGTTCCCAAGGTTGGGGGTTTCCAGGCGCCGGCCATTCTGTGACGAACTTGTGCCAGTGCGCACCATCACAGGGAAGCTCGGGTTTCCCGGCATGGTGCCTCTTTGAGCGTTGGCACACTTGGGCTCTGGCCAAAGGCCTCATTGGTTGGTTGCTTGAGGATTCTAATGCAGTCCTTTGAGTCGTGTGCATTGCTGCACACACCACACTTCTTCCCTCGCTGGCAGGTGGCTGCAGTATGACTGAACCCCTGACAGTTGAAGCATTGCAGTGGGCCCGACAGGTTCGGCCGGGTCTTGAACCTTCTCCAGACCTGAAGGTCCAGGTGCGTGGGGAGTGGTCCTTTGTGGTGTATCAGCACCTGGTGGGTGGGCACCTTGTTCACCTTGGGAGTGAGATGCTCTGCCTTGACAATATTGGGCACTTCCAAAATGGGGTCCAATGGGATGGGCAAAGGGACGTGTAAAAGCACCCCCTTGTATACCTTCTCCAAAGCAACCAGTTCCACAATGCTGGGCTGCATCACAACCAGCCCCTTTAACTCCTCGTATGAATGTTCGTTCTGAGGAATGGCCAGAACCTCGTTCCTGAGAGTGAACTAGCAGCGGAACTTGAGACGGGGTATGCTCTCCAGATACTTCACAAACCCGTAATCAGGAACCTTGAATTTGTTGAAGGCCCTGGTTGTGCCTGAGCAGAGCGGGAATTCTTCCATGTGGAGTCAACAATTCCCCATCCTCTGTGGTGGCCAACGCAACTGGGGTGGGGACCTGGGATGGCTCCATCCCCTCCAGTTGAGGAGGAGCTACAGCCTCCTGGTTTCCTCCCATGACCCCTATGGCCATCTGGGGGAGCAGGTCTCCTTGGGTAGCAGCTGCCGTCTGATCTCATGGCAGATCGGCAGATACAGCAGTCTCCACAGCAACCTTGGCCTTCTTGGTGGGGGCTCCCACCTGTCCCACGTCGTCCTCCAACTCGGTCTCGCATTCCAATAAACGTTTAGGCCGCTCTCCTGGGCCTGACATGGTGACTATAGTTGTGGGGACAGAACCAACAGCTGTGCTGCTGACCATGACCACATCTTTGGGACCAATTGTCCCCAGGCCTAGCCACAAGCTAGGCCTCTCTGGTCTGCCATCCGTGCCCCAAGGGGGCAAATGGGAATGACAGTCTTATGAGCTAAAGGCTCGGGCTCAGGCACCTACCCTACCCTAGAAGGGTTAGGCCCGGTGGCCTGGTGGCTAAAGCTCCCGCTTCACACACGGAGGGCCCGGGTTCGATTCCCGGCGGGTGGAAACATTTTGACACGTTTCCTTACACCTGTTGTCCTGTTCACCTAGCAGCAAATAGGTACCTGGGTGTTAGTCGACTGGTGTGGGTCGCATCCTGGGGGACAAGATCAAGGACCCCAATGGAAATAAGTTAGACAGTCCTCGATGAAGCACTGACTTTCTTGGGTTATCCTGGGTGGCTAACCCTCCGGGGTTAAAAATCTGAACGAAATCTTATCTTATCTTATCTTATGCAGTTTAAAAATTCTATTCTGTTCTATTCTATTTGATTCGCCGGTAATCCCGGCCTGGGTCTCTTCCATTTTGGTGAACCGGCAATGGCTCTCCGGGTAGGGAATTCTTCCATGTGGAGTCAACAATTCCCCATCCTCTGTGGTGGCCAACGCAACTGGGGTGGGGACCTGGGATGGCTCCATCCCCTCCAGTTGAGGAGGAGCTACAGCCTCCTGGTTTCCTCCCATGACCCCTATGGCCATCTGGGGGAGCAGGTCTCCTTGGGTAGCAGCTGCCGTCTGATCTCATGGCAGATCGGCAGATACAGCAGTCTCCACAGCAACCTTGGCCTTCTTGGTGGGGGCTCCCACCTGTCCCACGTCGTCCCCCAAACCCGGGTCCTCGCATTCCAATAAACGTTTAGGCCGCTCTCCGGGGCCTGACATGGTGACTATAGTTGTGGGGACAGAAACCAACAGCTGTGCTGCGACCATGACCACATCTTTGGGACCAATTGTCCCAGGCCTAGCCACAAGCTGGGCCTCTCTGGTCTGCCATCCGTGCCCCAAGGGGCAAATGGGAATGAAGTCTTATGAGCTAAAGGGCCCGGGGTCAGGCACCTACCCTACCCTAGAAGGGTTAGGCCCGGTGGCCTGGTGGCTAAAGCTCCCGCTTCACACACGGAGGGCCCGGGTTCGATTCCCGGCGGGTGGAAACATTTTGACACGTTTCCTTACACCCCGTTGTCCCTGTTCACCTAGCAGCAAATAGGTACCTGGGTGTTAGTCGACTGGTGTGGGTCGCATCCTGGGGGACAAGATCAAGGACCCCAATGGAAATAAGTTAGACAGTCCTCGATGAAGCACTGACTTTCTTGGGTTATCCTGGGTGGCTAACCCTCCGGGGTTAAAAATCCGAACGAAATCTTATCTTATCTTATCTTATGCAGTTTAAAAATTCTATTCTGTTCTATTCTATTTGATTCGCCGGTAATCCCAGCCTGGGTC